CGGCGACACGTACGGCATCCTGGGTTTCGGCCGCCTGACCGACCACTTCCCTGTCGTCCCTCCGGAGGGCGGGCTGTACTTGTGTCTGGCAATGTCACGAAGCAGCAGCAGCGGCTGTGGCACCCCGGGGGGGCTGTGCTTCGGGCCCAGCTGCGTGTATTCGCTGTTCAACAACGAGGTGACGTGCTGCCCGGCGAGCGAGGCGCCGCTTGGCTAGGCAGATAGACATGTGAGTGCCGTACATGGATATTGCTCCATCCAGTTGGGGCTTGGTGGTGAGGAACGGAAACGCGGCCTGGACATTGACATTGTGCAGTTTGCGTAATAATAATTTTAATAATGTGGTCCGGAGGTCCCATGTATCCGGTCGCTTGTGCCTCGTTGAGAGGGATGCTAGGGATTCGAAGAAAATCAGGGCGCATTTTGAGCCGTTTATCCTCCGGGGTGTTAATTAATTAATTAATTAATTTTACGCGGAGACAGACTCTCGCGTGTGTTTAGGGGACCGGGCCTAGGGAGTAATTTCTTCTCCGTTCGGCGCGATCACCAGGGTGAATCAGACCTGACGGGCGGACTGATTGATCTGGGACATTTTCTCGAGCGCCCCTGCACGATCCGGAGTTTAGCGGGCCGGACTCACCGTTATTCACCCTGGCTAATGCCAGGGGCCAGCGGTGGGATTCGAACCCACATCTACCCATTACCAATTCGACCAAGCATGGGATTGATCCCATGACCACCGAATTGACAAGCGAGTGCTCTACCAATTGAGCTACGCTGACATCCTCCGGGGTGCTTGCATTGGGAGCAGCCATTGGGGTAGTCTTTTGCCTGCTACATAGTCTGGCCGGTTGTCTGCGGGGCCTGCGTCCATGACCGTGTAGCAGCCCCCGTTAGTCCCCCGGGCTAGCTTCTACAAATTTTCAAACGTTTGGGCAAAAAGATATATTTATCCTAAGATAGCAGGCCTGCTGGCTCGGGGTTGATGTATGGCCCCCCAAGCAAGCAGGTTGTTGATGGAGCGTATCATGCATAGCAGTCTTTGCTGCTTTTCGTGGCACAGGCAGGGGTGCGCCGCCGGGCGCAGCTGAACCTGGCGGTGGCCAAGTGATGTCTGCGGGTGGCTTTGGCGCGTGGCCCCCGTCGCAGTTCCCAGCGAACCCTGTTTCTCTTGGCGGGTCTATCGGGTCGGCCGGTGCAGGGCGCGTGTTCGGGGTTAGCGCAGCGCGGGCTGTGCTCAGGTGCTTTGCCGGTAGGGCTTGTTGGGATGTGTATGTGGTGCGGGTTAATCACTGCTTGGTGTGCCCGCCACGGTTGCAGGTGCGTGCATGCGTGGATGGGGGGTGTGTGTGGCTCGCTTCAGATAGCCAGGGTGAGAAGTGTTCGTACGCAGGTGGACGGGTCGAGCGTTGTGTTGAAGTGCGTGGGTCATACCACGGGGAGTTCCACGGGGAATACTGCAGCGCAGGTGCCGAGCGAGTAGGTGTTGTGTGTGGTGCGCCGCGAGTGGCACCGCTTGGAGCCCAGGGGTCACGATGGGGATTCCCATGGTCACGATGGTTACGATTCTTGATTGGGGATTACCATTGTTACAATTATTGGCGCTTGCGCTTTGGCTACAGCAAGTAGCCATCACAGCTAGGGCCAGGAGAGACGTCGCTGCCCGCACGTAGAGACTTGGGAAGCTAGCTCTATCTGCATATTTCGAAGTGCTGAGCGAGCGAGCGGGTGACAAGTGCAAGTGCATGCCACGCAGATTGCTTCTACGGTTGTTACTGGCTGCCGGTATAACTTTGTGAACTGTAATAACGTATGCCAGATTGCCAGTCGTATGCCCTCGAGCGAACCGATCTGGCGGCGGGTGCCAAGCTGCCAACTAACGCGTCTGCTGCGAGCGTCATCGATCCACCTCCATCCGGACAGCGGCGCCCCGCCGCCCGCCGCGACGCAGCGGACGGTCGCGACCACGCACTGCCGCTTATTATAAATGCGTTTGTCGCTGGCGTAGTTCGGTTTACGTGTGCGTGTGGCTGCTGCTGCTACCTAGCTACCGCCACTGGTCGCGTCCTTAGCTGGATGGATAGCTAGATGCGATCGAGCCATGCATGGATGCGCTAGCTGGATGGTGCGCGGAGGTCCGATCGATGGTGGGGCCCGTAAAGCCCTGCTGCTGCTGCTCACGGATTGTTACCGTACGTACACACCTGCTGGCTGGCCGTTTAGGCGGCGGCGGCGGCGGTGGCGGCAGAGGTAAGTGCACACACTCGGCAGACATTTGTGCAGATATGCTATGTGCAGATTTTATCCAATGTTCATTATTGAAGCTTGCATGTGACCAGCAGTACGGCAAACATGATACAGACATCACACTTACGACACGGCCCGAACGACCCGCGGCGGGTATAAATAAAAGGAAACGAACCCATGGCGTGTGGCGACGACCAACAATTAAACAAGGGATGGAATGTCACAAGTAACTCACTCCTTGCTTGCTTACCACGTGCGTACCACGCACGGCATGCATGCATGCCTGTGGATTCCCAGCCTTACATACATACACTCTAGAGACAAGACAGGTAGATAGCTACGTAGGGTGTCCGACGACGCATTCTATCTCCGGTGGCTATCTGGCTAAGGTAGATAGGGCTCCCAAGCTAGCTCTAGCTAGCTACCTAGCAGCTAGCGTCTTGACACCCTCAAAAGAGCGATCGAGACAGACACACATCGATACCGATACATACCATACATACATGCATACATACAACGGTGTGGCCGGTGTATGTTCAATCATCGATGGGTCCCTACACGTGACTACGCACCGTGCCCCTGCAATGGACGTCCTCGCTCCGATGCATGCTGTGGTCGTTCTCCCACACCTTCACGCGCGACTGGCCCAACTTGACGCCCCTCGTCAAAGGCAACCTGCTTGCACAGAAGAAATCTGGCGGTCCGGAGCCAACTCCTAAGACGGTGTGGCCTCATTGCAGTACGGACGCATAGCCAGCGGCCTTCAATCCAACATGAGCTATCTATGGGGTACTGTATTAACGCGTTGGCTGTAACCAGACCGGTCGGACACACAGCAGACCCATCGAGCGTCGCCTATGTGCCGGTCACCAGTAGGGAGGCCGGTGCAGTGGCTCCGCCCCGTTGGAACGCCACCCACCCAGTCCCCAGCCACCCAGCCACTCACCCACCTAACCACCCACCCAATCACCCACCCACCCAACCAGCCACTCCTGCGGCTTCTACGGCACCTGCAATCGGCGGGGGGGGCGAAAATCGGTGTGTACCGTACACCGATAAGCGGGCGGGACACCGGCCGAGCGTCGCCGCCAAGTGGCCGGCCGAGCGTCACCTGCGACAGGGTGGCCAATGATGTGCAGGGGAACATTGTTAGTTGTGGGTTGTGACGGTGAATGAAGGGGTGAGCAGGTTACAAGACAACGGATCGGACCGGGAGATGTGCGAGCGTACCTACCGTTGGTCGTGGCTGGCCTGTAATGCACGTGCCAGCGCCAAGTCCGCAACGCCCAGGGCGTCCACGAGCATGTCCGTGTCAGGTGTGCCAGGGTCCACCGTGTGCGCTTCGTTCCAGGATGTCAGCGGCTGTGGGGGCTCGCGCCAGGCGTTGGGGCAGGCAGTCCGGGCCGGGGACGGCGGTGGCACGACGATGCTCCTAAGCACGCTCATCAGGCGGCACAAATCAACAGGCCGATCCTGGCCCTCAACCAGCTTTGCTTCAGCCAGCCGACGGCGCTCGCTGCTCCTCCATGCGTTGCCGAGCAGCGTCCCGCTCCTCTGCCCGCTGCGAATCCGTCTGCTGGCGGCGGGTCTCCTCAACACGCCGCCGAGCGGCGTCCAACGACACTCGGTTTCGTTCGCCCACTGGCCGCGGTCCGTCAAGCATTCCTAACGTCCGACCCAACGCACTCAACAACCCGTCATTCAGTCCCCCGAGTGGCCGCGTCGCACCAGCGGCCAATATTTTGCAACCAGTCGTGCAGCCGCCCGCGCTCGGAGCAGCAGCGTTCCCTACATCACCACCGCCTATGCAAGCGGTCGCGGTACTGCTGCCGCCGCCGCCAACGCCGACTGCTGGTGGTGCTCAAGCAGCACACTAGCTACCAAGGCCCGGCAGTGCAGCCGGCACCGTGGCTGGCGGCGCTGCAACTAACACCGCATGCCGCCTGCATGCGGTGCTGCCGCCACTGCGGCTGCAGCCGCTGGTAGCCATGCGGCGGCTTGATGCGTTAGTCCCTGCTGGCGGCGTTCCGGCACCAGCCATGAAGCCAGCAGGTGCAGCCGCCGCCAGGTGAGCGGACCGCCACGGCTGCGGGAACAGCGGCGGTGGCGACAACCCATGCATATGGCGCCATCGCCAGACCGACGGAGGGAAACGGGCCCCGGCACCAGTCAACCCATCCACCGGCGCTGGTGGTGGCGGGCGGAATAGGTAACGGAGGCGCCCCAACATGGCCTGCTCGACCACCGAAAACGTACAGGGGTGTACCGACGGCGGCGACGAGAACGGCAGACCGGCGATGGGTACGGGCGCCGATGCCGCGTGGAGAGGATTCTGCTGCTGGGTGCGTGATCGGCCACTGCTGCACGCACTGCTGCTGTCGGAAGGTGCTGGCGTGTTGAGGTGCGCGCACCACAGTCTGGCTGCCTGCAGCTGGCTGTTGCATGAGCACTCCGACCAGCAGCACCACGCCACACAGTTCCTACGGCAACACCGACAGAGCACCCTCACGCCTGGTTTCCGCCGAACACGCACAGCAGTTTATTAATTAATTAATTTTACGCGGAGACAGACTCTCGCGTGTGTTTAGGGGACCGGGCCTAGGGAGTAATTTCTTCTCCGTTCGGCGCGATCACCAGGGTGAATCAGACCTGACGGGCGGACTGATTGATCTGGGACATTTTCTCGAGCGCCCCTGCACGATCCGGAGTTTAGCGGGCCGGACTCACCGTTATTCACCCTGGCTAATGCCAGGGGCCAGCGGTGGGATTCGAACCCACATCTACCCATTACCAATTCGACCAATCATGGGATCGATCCCATGAATCACCGAATTGACAAGCGAGTGCTCTACCAATTGAGCTACGCTGACGCACAGCAGTTTATCATCCTCCCTTGCCCAAATCCTCCGCATAAACCACTTGCCTGTGGGCTCAGTACGAGGTCGTGCTGCGCATTCAGGCGCACGACCAGACTCAGCTGCTGCAGCTGCTGCTGCTGCTGCTGCAGGATATCAAGCGCCTGACGGCATCCAACCGAACTGCCGAGAACTCGTATCCGGGGATGGCCACAGCATCAACAGCGGCCACTGAGGGAGCCGAGGACAACACGGGGCACCAGGTGACGCCTTCGTAGGCGCCGACCCAACTTGACCCGTTCCCCATCACGCAACCCGCCTTACCTCCAGCTCTGCCACGGTGATATGCTGATATCCCTTTGCCGCTCCGCTTGCTTGCGCAACCGCCAAGCAGGGCAGGGGTACAGTGATGACACAGGCGACAACAGGGCAAGCATTGCCACGGGCACATCAGCACACACCCCCAGCAGCTGCATATCCGAAGACACCTGCTGCAACGTGGGTGCACGCCACAAGGGTGGGCAAAATCGGTTCACGATACACTGCGGTGAATTAGAGGGGACTCGCTTCCGTGTCCGCTCTCGGCCCCCCACCCCCCGTACCTGCAATGGGACGCCCAGCACGCGCGCCGAGCTCCCGCCATCAGAGCGGGTACGGAGAACGAGATGGCAACTAACTCCACTCCAATGTGAGAGCGCCGTTAGCCCCGCCACCCTGCGTTCGGCCGAGACGTCGAACATGCATTCGGTAAGACCCGCCACTATCCCTGCCTCAACCGTGGTACCCACTTGCTGCGCTTGACAAAGCACGAGCGATTTGCCAGATTGTTTGCCACCAAACCTTGGACCAGGCAGGCCACCGCCTTCCAGCGGCATCGCCGCCGCCGCCAGCACCGCCTGCCCGTACGGCTGCCAGGACGCATATCCTCCCGCAGGCTGCTCCACTGCTACGAGCGAAAGCGGAGGAAAATGGTCGGAGATAGAGACCCCGTGCTCGCGGGCCTCGGTCCATCCCGGCCAGCTCCTGCTATCGGTGCTGCATCCGCACAGTGGCCGCTGGCCACACGCGTCGCGGTGTTTATAACTAGTCAGACACAACTCAGGCAATCGATCCTTCAACGGACGCAGAGCGGCAGAGGTTCAAAGTGCGGAGTGCCGGTGCACCCTCTGCTACAAGCAACAGTCGCAGTAGTTCAGTAACGGCGTAACCATACATGGGACGCACGTCACGAAGCTAGTAGGCAGAACAGCGACCGCCCCACCACCAATCTCTAGCCAGCGGCCAACCGTCTGTGTCCGCTAGTCGAGCGAGCACTTTCGATTGGCGTCCGTCCGAGGAACGGGCACCATGCACCTAGCTAGGCTGTCCGATGACCGACATCCCTAACGTCAGCCCTTCCCGTACACGCTCGTATATCACACTTTTTATTCTCCGCCAACCAGCTCTTAGCACCTGTGGCTGCGAAGGAAGGAACAAACACACGAACAAACGGAAGTCCCTCGTGTGCCCGAAAAACACAGAAAGCAGCCAGAGAAGCCTGGTAGCTTGCAGCGGCATGCGGTGCAACGCACTACTGTATTTGCTTCATGCGTATGCACCGATATTAAACCAAGCTCGCAATCGTTGGTTCGTTCCAAGTGACCCATGGGTCATGTGGGCGACGTTGCGACCGTCCCGAACCGGCGCGTATATTACCCTATCTGTGGGTGTGTGATGTGAACGTAGGCAATACAGCACTCCTGACTCCCACAGGCAGACGGAATAATGTCCTTTCACTGCTCCATTACGGCCCCACGTGCGCCGTCCTCCTCCACCCAACCAACGCAGCCAGCCTTTCGGCCTCCGTCGGGTACTCCGAAGCGGTACACTAATTTCGCCTGAAAGTAATGAGGCGCTTATGAAGTGCAACGGAACTCCCTCGCACTGCCCCAATACGGCCCCACGTGTGCCGTCCTGCATCACGACGATTCCCTCTCGTGCCTTACTTAAGCTTTCGGCGGGTAAGGACGCAGAAGCGGAAGCAACAACCGAGTTCTCTTTTGTTCGTTCATTTGTTCGTTCTCTACATTCTACACACTACGGGTCCCACTGCTGTTTTGGGGCGCGTGTACTCCACTTGCACAGCGAACCTGACTAGTAACATGGTCTGCAGTGTTTATTGTTGATGCACCGCTCACATCAGTGCTTGCAACCCCCACTGAGTGACCCACTCGCGCAGACATACCGTCGCGCGTATTGCGCCCCCACTGAGTGGGCCGAAGGTGTCCTGCCGATATACGAAGTTGTCCACTCGCGCTAGCTGACCGGCACGCGCACGGCACTCCGCAGGGATCGATCATGCGACGTCGGCTCGCTGAACCGCCATCGTCAACCCCGTCCCGAACGCACCCGTATTTTATTCGTATATTGCAATTTTATTCTCTGCCCACCAGCTCTTTCCACCACGCAGTGCCTCCGAACGAAGGAAGGAACGGACGGCAGTCCCTCGCATGCCCGAGAAAGCAGAAAGCAGCCAGAAAGCCCCTAATGGGTTCGTTCTCTGTCCTGCTTTCCTTACGCTTTTGTCGGGAATATGCGGTTTACATTCCGTAATAAAATGCTCTCCGTAATGCAGTTTTGGGGTTGCCGACTCCTCCGTAAATTACGGTTTAAATTTAAATATATAAATATAAATAAGCTTCGTAGGGTCTCCGAGAAGTCTCCGTAATCTGGCGGAGAGATTACGGAGACACTTTACGGAGACCAATCCTCCGTAAAATGCGGTTACTTTACGGAGAATAGCCAACCCATTTTATACGGAGTCAGGGAGTCTAGACCCCCCTCTTTTTTCCCAGAGTGGCCAGGGGATCAATTCGCCAACCAGATATGGTTTAGCTCGCTCGTAGGCTGCGCAAACAACAAGCAAGCAGGTCGCCAAAGAGCGAGCAAGGCGTGTGTGCGTCCCAACAAGGTGTGAATTTGCCTGCTCGCCGGTTGTGCAGTCGTTTGTTGTCGACCGTCAAGCAAAGGTTTGCTTGCTTCGTTGCCAGCTCGATCGCTCCATGCATCTCGCGGGAAATGACGTATGTACATACTGACTGCTGCCAGCAATCGCTATGCCTCGCCTTTGTATCTTTAATCGCGTATGCTATTTTTTGCAGCTAGCTTTCGCCGGCAATGTAACATGCATGCATGCGAACCAGCTGGCGCGCTATCCCGCCCAGCCGTAACCGACTATTATTGCTGTCAGGAAGGACATTCATTCGCTATTCACATAACTACGCCAAAGTATGCTCTTTCTTCTCTTCCCTTTTGCAGGACGGACGGAAGGATAGCCGCTGGAGCGAGGCGTCGCGATCGGATGCGCCCCCTTCCGAGCCGCCAGAGCACCATCGGTGGTGCCACCACTGCTGGGGACATCATCAGCAGCAGCCGGCGGCCAGTAATGGCGGAGGCCGGCACTACACCGCACACCCGCCGCTTCCCGCCGCTGGTTCCTCGCCGGCGGCGTTCCTTCGTCCCCATCGTCGCCGCCTTCGCAGCGCTACTTGTGACAGGGCTACTGGGCCACTGCCCTGCCGCCCTTCCGTGTGATACCTTTCTCATGGCGATCAACGGAACCGAGGTGCAAACTATTGAAATTCCCGTCTACAACGGCACGTTGCCGAAATTCTCAGACGCCACTGTTTCCTCGATATACCGTACCTCTAGCGCCGGGAGCACAATGGCCGGCGGTCCAAACATTTACGCTAACGGCTCAGCTTGGTCGACCAACGCTTCTGCGTACACCCTATTCCTGACGCCATCTCAGTTCGCCGCGCGCTACAACGGCTCGGCTGGCTGCACCGAACCCAACCCTGTGTCTGAAGGCTATAGGAATAAGTGGTTTTCGGGTATATCTATGGACGAGTATTCCAGTCGAGATATGGGCGTTTCAATGTTTTTTTTGTTTGACGAAGCGAACTATTACAATTCAATTCAGTATTGCGCACTCAACCCGGTGTACATCTTCGTCAAGTATTTGCGTAATGGAGATGGAAGTACCGTTGGATGGATGGGGAACAAGCGGGTTCAGGCCAATGACCCGTGGGACCCAGTTTGCCCCAACTCCTCCACCAGCTTCAGTTACATCTACTTCGAGCTGTACAATTGCGCCTGCTCTCCGCCACCTCCACCGCTGCCGCCCTCCCCACCTCTACCTCGTTCGCCTCCTCCACCGCTGCCGCCCTCCCCACCTCCACCTCTACCTCCTTCGCCTCCCCCACCGCTGCCACCCTCCCCACCTCCACCTCTACCTCCTTCGCCTCCCCCACCGCTGCCACCCTCCCCACCTCTACCGCTGCCACCCTCCCCACCTCCACCTCTACCTCCTTCGCCTCCTCCACCGCTGCCGCCCTCCCCACCTCCACCTCTACCTCCTTCGCCTCCTCCACCGCTGCCGCCCTCCCCACCTCCACCTCTACCTCCTTCGCCTCCTCCACTGCTGCCACCCTCCCCATCGCCGCCCTCTCCACCGTCCCCGCCGCCGCCTCCGCCACCCTCCCCTTCACCGCCCCCACCCTCACCACCTTCCCCACCTCCCCCGCTTCCACCACCACCGCCACCGCCACCACCTCACCCATACGGCACGCTAGGCGTCTCTCCCTCTCCACCACCCATGCCGCCACCCTCGCCCTCACCGCCTTCCCTCCCTCCATCACCGCGCCCTCCATCTCCACAGCCGCCTCCGCAACCCCCTCCTCCGCCTCCCCCTGCGCCTCCGCTGCCGCCCTCACCTCCCTCACCTAGCCCCCTTACGCCCCCATCTCCGTTCCCATCTCCCCCCCCCACCTTCACCGTCTCCACCACCGCCTCCATCCCCACAGCCTCCCCCTCCAACCCCGCCCCCGTCACCTGTGCCCGGTGAGAGACCTCCGCCTCCACCTTCACCCTCTCCTCCACTCGGCAGCCCTCAAATCAGTCTGCCGCCGCCAAAGCAGCCAAAGGCTCCCAGGCTGCGCTCACCACCGCCCTCACCCCCACCTTCATCCCCGTCC